AATACACTCCGTCCATCTATCCGTTCAAAAAAACACACGAAGTTAATTCTATTAACAAAAATACCCCCGCGACTAACGGCAGAACTGATGGAGTGTATTTGTTTGAACGGATAGATGGACGGAGGGTATTTATAAACCATTTAGCAAACGATAGGGATTTTTAATTGGGCCACGTGGCAATCTTTGACTGGAACAAAAAATGGATATTATTTCAACCCATTTACCTTATCCGATCCATTTACAAAAATGGGTAGTATCTATCACACCCATTCCCACTCATCTGATCTCCCCCTTTCTTCTTCTCCACACAATAACAAATTAATTAATGAATAGATAAAACCCAAAATCAAATAACCCGAAATTCAAACTAGATTCTGAAATTTCTCCAATCAAACTCAGGATAAGTATTGAAACTCTTAAATGAAAAATCAACAAATACATTTGGGTTGTTAAGTAAGAAGACAAGGATCAAAACAAACCAAAAATCTGAAACAAAAAAATTGAGCCCAAATGCTAAAATTGTCCAAATTTATCAATCAAATCTAGGAGAAATATTAAAACTTTGAAAGGGACAAGTAATGAAAATCTTTGGATTGTTCATAAGAAGACAAAAGAGCCACGAAATAACAGAGAAAAAACAACTACATATAACTGATACAAGCACACAAGAAATTGAAACCAAGGTGCTAAAAAGCTTGAAATTATCACATTCTAGGATAAAGATTGAATCTATAAAAGGTAAAAAAAAAGTAAAGGGTTACCTTTGGGATGTTCATAAGAAGAAGAAGAGGAGGACAAAGAGTCATGAATTGCAGATGAAGTGAAAGCCAAAGCCATATTTTCAAACACAAAGAAAGATTTGTTTCAACAAAGAAACGCTAAAAATTCTTTGTGAGATGAGAGTGGGTGTGCTGGGTGATAAGGAAAAGAGAGGAAAAAAAAAGCACGGAAAAAGAAAGAAAATAATTAGGCGGGTCAAATAAATAGGGTCGGACCAGGTAAATGGGTAAAAATAAGACCCATATTTGATTCTTGGTCAATAATCCCTATCGTTTGCTCAATGGTTTATAAATACCCTCCGTCCATCTATCCGTTCAAAAAAACACACTCCATCAGTTCTGCCGTTAGTCGCGGGGTATTTTTGTTAATAGAATTAACTTCGTGTGTTTTTTTGAACGGATAGATGGATGGAGTATTTTTTTTTGAACGGATAGATGGACGGAGGGTATTTATAAACCGTTTAGCAAACGATAGGGATACTTTTGGCCCTTTTCCGTAGTTCAAATAATGAATGATTTAGTAACCACATTTTTAGTTGTTTTAAATGTCCTAAATATTAAAAAAAAATTATTAAACGACTATTTTATCTAGTGTAAATTCTATTTTTAAAGGGCAAAATAGACGAACACATTTCGCTAAGGGCATTCGTGCTTTTAATATAGTATAGATATATAATCCATGTACAAGAAGAGTTGAGGTTTCCGAGTTGACTTTTTTTTTCTTTTGAATTAAATTTAGATATGCATGATTGATGTACAAGAGTTGAGGTTTCCAAGATGATTTTTTTTTTCCGGAAAAGGGCCTAAATTACTCCTATCGTTTGTTAAATGATTTACAGATACCCTCTGTCCATCTATCCGTCCAATAAATCACACGGTGTTAATTATATTAACAAAATTGCTCCGCATCTAACGGCAGAATTTGTGGGCATTCAATTTAGTGACGTGGCTGTTTCTTATTGGGCCACTGCCAATCTCGGGCTGAAACAAAAAATTGACCTTATTTTCTTACCCGGGTCATAAAATACATTAACCCATCCGACAAAACTCCATTTTAAAATTAGAACGACCCATACTTCACTAAGATATCCATACTCAAGATTTTTTTTTTGGAAATTGATGCAGGGAAAATCTGATTTATAATTCTGATTCCATCTTCACACCAATTGAGATCACAAATTGAGCACTAACACTTTTTCCCTTAAATCAGAATATTCATATGCTTGCAATAATGAGAAGGTTCAAGATCTGAGAGACGAATTGATCAATTTTATGGAGGATTCAAGGGAAAGTGAGTGTTCCAAGCTTGCACAGTCTACCATGATAGTTCATCCGGACAAGGAGAAATTAAAGGAGTTAGCAAAACGAGAAGGCAAGTAGAATCTGTGGATACCAACGAGTTTGCAATGATTTTTTTTCTGGCTTAAAAGAGATTCTAGAAGATTCTATTTTTTAGACATCTATGAGATACATTATTTACACATCATGCAGTTTGATAGCGCTGCACGGACAAGAAAACTGATATTTGGCCGCAGAAGCGACGCTCTAGTCGAAAACAAATTCAATCACTTATTAGGTGCTGGTCTTTCGAATCTTGTGTATGGATATCTTTGTGAAATTATGAGTTAATGTATTACTGTAAAGAATTTTTCATAAAGCACCATCTTTTAGGTCTAATTAGCCATTTATAGATACCCTTTGTTATATTACGTGTTATAGATACATTTTATGTTTTTATACAATATATTTCATGTATTTAAGCTGTTGTATTCATTAATACAACCAAAAAAATAGGCGTAAAAAGTGAAATTCCAGCTAAGTTTGACATGTATTTAGCTGTATTCAAGCGGCATTAACGTTAAATACAGTAACGTATCTGCGCAAAATCTGGAAGGTTAAATTGGTTAAAAACGGAAGGAAATCAAATCACATGATATTCTACTAATTTAACTCAACGAACTAAAACGATCCCTCATTAATCTGTATTTGAAAGATACATAATAAAGATTATAGCTGAATAAAGAGAAATACATATGAATAATACAATTGAGTAGAACTGTATACAGTTGAATACAACAAAATACAACTTAATTCATCTGAATAAAACACTTGAATACAACAAAATATAACTGAATACAGCTGAATAAAACTCTTAAATGCAACAAAATACAACTAACTTCTGCTGAATAAAATAGTTGAATATAACTAACTACAACTGAATACAACTGAATACAGTTGTATAAAACACTTGAATACAACTAACTAGTGCTGAATAAAATAGTTAAATACAACTGATTAAAACTGAATACAAGAGAATACGCATAACTTTTTAATACATCTAAAATATATAAATGAATGCTCGCAAAATCTGGTTATGAGCTCGAACCAACCTCAGACTCGATCGAATTCCATAGCTTAAAAATAAAAATTTAGATGAAGAAGACAAAAATGTTTTTTGTTTTGTATTTTTTCATTTTTTCAAGAATTGGAACTAAGATTCAAAAATCGAAAATCAGCCGAGGAATTCCCGGTGAGTTTCTGGCGGAGACGAGGGGGGTTGAAGAAGATGGGTGGAGCGGCGGAGGCTGGTGGTCGTTGCCGGATTTTGGGAGTAGGCGTCTGGCGGCGGCTGCCTTAAGGATTAGGGGAGAAAGAGTAAAGTGTATGCAAAAAGAGAGAGAGAGAACGTGGTTAGTCACTGTTACGGTGATTATGTGAGAGAAAAGACTAAAAAGGAGAGAGAAAAATATTATTTAGCATATATCGTGCCTTAAATGTAGGATGTAACTATAATTAGATATTTGGCTATGAAGTATAAAAGTATCTATAGGATGTAATATTTTAAAATGGTATTTATTTAAAATAAATAGGGTACTAAGGTTTTCTATAGGGTGTAAAAATTCCATTGTATGACCCAGTTAAAAAACGTTGGGCCGGATTAAGTGGGTCGAAATAAAACCCATTTTTTGTTTCAGCCGAGATTGCAACGTGGCCCTGTAAGAAACTGCCACGTCAATAAATTGAACGGCCTCCAAATTCTACCGTTAGACGCAGATGCAATTTTGTTAATATAATTAACACCGTGTACTTTTTTGGACGGATAAATAGACGGAGGCTATTTGTAAACCATTTAGCAAACGATAGGGATAGTTTAGGCCTTTTTACATTTTTTTTTATGCTCCAATTGGACTTCACCTCTGCGGCAATGGCAATTCTTTAGTCGTTAGGTTCATGGGATAATGAGAAAAAATTCCGAGATTAAATGTGGAATTCTTTAATCTCATATTTGGGTGAATTCATCTTCAGATTAGTTATACCATAATTTTGATATTGTTTTTATACCATATTTAATATGGATAATAATTTCGGGATAAAACAACCAAATGACGTAAGTGACATTCTCCAAAGCTTTTTCTCCCAAAGTTTTTTAAGAATGACAAATTAATAACAAGAAATAAAAAGTTTATCAACATTTATCTATTATAAAATCAGACACATATTTTACGTTATATCTTCTTTATATCATTTTTAATCCAACATTTGCAAAAAAAAAAAGAAAAATTACTAGATAATCTCGTTTTTACTTAATCCCTATATTCCCCAAAAATTATAACAATTGACACCTGAACTTATTTCTTTTAATACTCTAGAGCCTTGGACTTGGGTAGAATTGTTCGCTACTAATACTGATGAAAGTGATGAAGAAGAGAAGAAATTCATGAAGATTTCTTCGCCAATTTTACACAGAAAAGAGAAGGAAGAAGGAGATGAGATATCTCAGACAAACACCTAAGTCTTCGGACTTTTCTATGTTGTGTTTGTCTATATCTCTATATCTCTTTAATCAAATTAGAGATGAGGCTACACGTGGAATAATCATGATGGTCATGATCCTTTAATATCAACCATCCGATCAAGTATTTAACACCTGTACATATTGAAGATTCAAGAAAGAATTCTCACGTGCCTATCACATGAGAACATAGGAGAGAATATTTTACAGTTTTTCTGTTACATTCTAGACAAATAGGAGTAGGACAAGTGTATAGCAATATTCTTTATTTGTTATTTTTCAGTAGGATAAGTTTGTATATATACCTTACACTGTGAATACAAAAGATACAGAGAAAATTCTCACATTTCCTACTGTTTCTTTCATGGTATCAGAGCAGCAATAGCTCGATCCAAAATCTCTCTTCTCTCAAAATATAATATTCATCTATGGCAGGAGAAGAAATTGCCCCTACTCCTTCTACTCCCATTACCTCTGGTTCAACCAGTCAATCAATCTCACAGGATATGAATCATCTACCTTCACTCATCTGATGCACCTGGTTTAAGCCTTGTAACCACTCCTTTTGATGGTAGAGGTTTTGCAGGTTGGAGGAGATCAATCCTCATAGCACTCTCAGCCAAAAACAAGATAGGTTTTATAGATGGTGACTGCAAGGAGCCAAAACCTGATGCACAAGACCACCCTCAGTGGAGTAGATGCAACTTCATGGTGACCTCTTGGCTTCTGAATTCATTGTCCAAGGAGATAGGTGATAGTGTCATCTATTCAAAATTTGCAAGAGATTTGTGGAACAGCCTTGAACACAGATTTGGCCAAAGTAATGGAGCCAAACTGTACCAACTGCAAAAGGAGATATCAATGTTAGTCCAAGGTAACAACAGCATAGCTGGATATTTTACCAGACTCAAGAAATTATGGGATGAACTTGACTCTCTCAACTCTCATCTAGTGTGCTCTTGTGAATGTGTTTGTGATGGGAAAAGGAAAGTAACAAAATTCTTAGAAGACCAGAGGATCATTCAGTTTCTAATGGGACTAAATGATGTCTATTCTCAGGCAAGAGGAAATATCCTCATGATGAATCCACTGCCTGGAATAGATTTTGCCTATTCACTCCTTCTTCAAGATGAAAATCAAAGGGAGATATATGCAAGACCACAATTAAATGCTGATGCTTCCTCTTTCATGGTAGGAGTTCAAGGTAGGGGACCACAGAGAAATAACAATCAGCCACAGCAAAGGACATGGACTAATTCACAAAAGGTTAACAACATACAACAAAACCCAGGAAGAAAGCTAAAATTAACCCTAATGTAAGCTGTACACATTGCATGAGAACTTGGACATGTCAGGGGAGATTGTATAGGTCTAAATGGTTTTCTNCAATTTGGAAGTACAACAACACCAGGAAATGCAATCAATGCAAATGCAGTAGCTGGTACTATACTTAAGTATACTGGAACTTGTATGGCAGCCTTTAACACAAAAACGGATCATTGATTCAGGGGCTTCTGAACACATGTGTTTTGATTCAAATTGTTTCTTATCTTTAGATCCACTTCCTGTTCCTGTGCACATTAGTCTTCCTAACTCTTTTCAACTATATGTCACACACATAGGTAGAGTTCCTATTCAGCCTGATATGATTCTTGAAAAGGTTCTTTATGTTCCCTCTTTCAAATATAATTTGCTCTCAGTCCATAAGTTTTGTGTCCAGTTTCATTGCTCACTCAATCTAACTTCTAGTGAATGCATTATGCAGGTCCCTTTAATGAGGAGGGGGAAAGTTTTTGGTGAATTAAGAGGGGGATTGTACCTGCTGGAGCCTAGCACACCTAAGATAGATTCTGGTTTTAGTTCAAATAGCAATGTATTTTCAATTCCAAAAGGAAGTAATTCCATTCTTGTTCCTAGTGAAGTTTCTTATTCTGTCTCTAGTTCAAATACACAAGACTCTAATGTACTCCAATGGCATGTTAGATTGGGGCATTTGCCATTTTCAGTAATGAAAAATCTTCAGTTTTAATTTTCCTTCCAATTTTAATTGTGTGTGTGATATTTGTCCACAAGCCAGACAAACTAGATTGCCTTTTCCTCTAAGTCAAATCAGAACTCTTGAAATTTTTGATCTTATTCACATTGATGTATGGGGACCTTTCAAAAGTACCACTTACAATGGGTACAGATATTTTTTGACTGTGGTTGATGATTTCAGCAGGGGGACTTGGACTTTTCTTTTAAGTTCTAAGAGTAATGCTTTAACTATGTTATCGTCTTTCTTAACTATGGTGGAGAGACAATTTGCAAGGAAGGTTAAGAGAATAAGATCTGATAATGCATGGAACTGGGAAAGGGATCTTTTCAGTATGATTTCTTTCAATCACAAGGGATTTTACATGAGACTTCATGTGTGGCAACACCCCAACAGAATGAGGTTGTTGAAAGAAAGCATAGACACCTTTTGGAAGTGGCAAGAAGCTTGTATTTTAACTCAAAACTTCCTATTCAATACTGGGGAGAGTGTGCTTTAACTGCCACATATCTAATCAACAGGTTCCCTTCTAGAGTTCTAAAAGGAAAAACTCCTTATGAGATTTTGTTTAAAAGGAGTCCAGATTATGAACACCTCAAGTCATTTGGATGTTTATGCTATGCTTCTACTCTATCACACCACATAAGCAAATTTGATCCTAGGGCACAAGCTTGTATTTTCTTGGGATATGCACAATAGCAGAAAGGATACAAACTCCTGGAGTTGCACTCCAAAAAGGTTTTTACCTCCAGAGATGTTAAATTTCATGAAAGCATTTTTCCCTTTGCTTCTGCACCTGTGAGTTCCACCTCATTTTTCCCTTCTCACCCTTTCTTTCCTCACTTATCTAGCACTAGTGAACCTACTTCTCAGAATCTTNTATACTGGAAGAAAATCTAGATAGATTATTTATAAAAATTACGTAGAAGAAGCGAAAAGGAAAGAAAAAGATTTATCAGAATTAGTTTATTGTTTCCATTGCTTATTAATCATGTCGAACTACTAAGTACTACTTTGAAAAACAGATATGATTGTCGTGCAAATCAAAATAATAAAAATGCGATATTCAACACAGAGTTACATCCTATGTCAGTCGGCCCAATTTCAGAACCAAAAATAGTTAATGTTTTGGAACTTTACTCGGCATAGCCCATTTTTATCGGTTAACCTAGCGACAACCTCCTTTATCCTTCTTTTTTCTTTCTTCAACTTTTCACCAAAACCTATATCCAAATGCTTCTTCCTCTTTTAACTGCAGCAGTCATTCTCTCATTCAACCTAACACGAAGGCCTTTTCCATTACTGTAATAAACATCTCCTCAAGGAGACTAAATCGCTATTTCTATTTGGAGTCCTCTTTTTTTTTTTTTTTTTTTTTTGTGCAATGTGAATTTTTTTAAGACAAAATACGTTTATCCTCCATTAATAACTTTTTGTTTCTTCTCAAATTGCTGGAAAGAGGTTGAAGAGTTGCAGACATCCTCCATTTTTTTCCTTCAATTTTCAAGGTAAATAGGTCGACGATGAAGTCAGTGAAGTCATCGGAGAATGAAAAAGAGGTCTTGTGTTGTATTCAGACAATTTTCAAGTTCTTCAGATGATGTTCCAGTTTTATCTTCTTTTATAAAACAATTCCATCTCCATCTTTATCCTCTTTAATTTTCAGATCTAACTTCCTCTGAAAAACTCTCTTTTGATATTTTGATACTGAAATAGAGGTGTAATATTGAACATAAGATGTGTTCTGGCATAAATATTGTATAACCACTATTTATACACACTTATACATTATTGTATAATTGTGTATAATTATGTATAAATATATATAATTATATATAATAGTGTATATATAGTTCCTTACTATCCCTTACTCTTCTTCTTCTCTTTCTCTTATTCTTTTGATATACATTATTATACATTCCATATACAAGTTTATACATAGTTATACATCATTATACATGTACTGCATATGTATAATCAAATTAATTTTTTTCATGTTTTCTTCCTTTTTCTGGAATAATTCATGTATAAATCTACTTTCCTTGTTGATTCTCTGCCAAATCACGAACTTGCAGCAATTGTTTCTAAATTTTACTATATAAGTAGAATCAGCGAAAAATTGGGGGACAACTTGCAGCAGTAAAGACAAATTGGGGGAGAAATATCAAAATTATACGACGGAAGAATTAGAAAATCTCATGACTTCATCTAAATAAGATAATTGTCATGATTAAACTCCGTTGCCGAATAAAAAAGCTAGAAAATACTCTTTTTTCAAATATTAGCCGATTATTTTTGGGCTACAGATTTGTAAAGTTAAGACTGGGCTATTATGATGCAAGTCAGATGTGTGAGTTGTATTTATGTGAAATTATCCCTAACAATAAATCTTCATTATTTTCCTCTCAAACCCGGAAATAGTTGTTCAATAAAAATATAAGGATAACAATTTAATAATCAGCAAATACCAAATAATACATACAAGTAGAAACATTTTAAATAACATTACAGAAAGTTCAATTTCTATATCAAGATAGGAACATAAATCGTTGGGGTAATTGCTCTCTCTCAATTCCATAGTTAACACAAAATTAAACAATGACATGAGTTTCTGGTGCAAGAAAGGTACTGATGAACACTCACAATCTTCACATGTTTGGATTCATTGAATTTTGATGATATTTTGTTAATCAGTATCTTGCTAAAATGATAAAATTAAATTAAAAGTGATAATTACAGAACAAATTAAACACTCACAACAGACCTCTTTGCATAAATGCTTTGGGTATAGGAGAAATTCTCACCTTTACGGAAGCTTATAAGCGGCAACAATAATCAGAGTTCTTCCTTCATTGAATTGGAAGATGATAGTTGAGTGTTTATAGAGATGAAGAGACGTGAAAGAGTGCGTGGGAGTTTAGAGGATTTTAAGGAATTGAGATACTGTAATTCAACTAAAATAAGATTACTAAGAATTTTAACTTTTAAGTCTATCTTTACAAATTAAAGGAAACGACTGCCTTTAGTTTAGGGATTTCAACCAAAAGTCCAACTAAAATAAGATTACTAAGGATTTTAAGTTTTAAGTTTATCTTTACAAATTTAAGGAAACGGTTGCCTTTAGTTTAGGGATTCCAACCAAAAGTGCAAAGACCGTAATTAAACTTTTATAATAGTAATAATAATAATTTTTTGATAGAGACTAGCTTGGATACATTGCTAGCTAAACAACCAAAACTGACCAAAAAAAAAGATTAGCGTCATATTTAACTTCCCGCTAAAAGGAAACATTTGTAGCTACTTTTTAGCTAGGGATTAGCTACAGAATGTAATTCTAGCTAAAAGATATCTTCCGCAAAATTTTTAGTGCCAAAATAGGATTCCCGCTAACATTTGGCTATAGATTAGCTAAGGAGACTTTTCTAGATAGCGCATTGCTAGGGATGCGCTACGGACAACATCCCTAGCTAAACTATGCTCTTTTGGAAAAAAAAATAAAAAAAAATTAGCGCCAAGCTAGAATTCCCGCTTAAAATTAGCTATAAATTTGGCTAGGAAAAACTGTAGCTATCATTTAGCAAGGAATAGTCCCTAGCTGATTCCTAGCAATTTTGTGACTATATTTTTAATCAAAAAAATTCGCATGGAAATAGGACTTTTCTAGCTACATCCCTAGCTAAATGCTTCTATTAGGTAGGGAACTGAAGTCCCACGCTAATTTCCCATGCTAATGGCCTGTTCTCTTGTAGCGATATAAGGGAGGTCTAATAATTCATTGAGGACATTGTAACACGCATTCCAAAGCAATATACTACTATATTCACCGTTATTAAAAGCTCTTTTTCTTGTTCACGAATACTGACCATTGTAAGCCCGGACCGAGGGTAAATATTTCATTAAGGCTGGAATCATCCTCCTCGCGTGGTTTGAATTTACTATATCATTATTTATTCAATCTAACTCAATTTATCGTTTTGTATCAGAGTAATCCGTGCTTTCCTAAAACCGCTTAAAAATTTAATTGTTATCCGATTTTGAGAGTAAACAAAAACTAATTCAAATGAGATATTTGTATACTAACTGTGTAATTAGTTTAAGACAAAACAATGCACTCCAATATTTCTCTTTACTAAATATAGGTGGAAAAGTTCTGAAAAGTATAAATTTAATTGCTTAACTCAGAAAAATGAAACAATAAATGTATACTTCGTTCTGCACACGAAAGAGGATATACTGTAATATAGTAATGACATACGAAAGCTAGATTTGACACAAAACAAGATGAGTAAAAATGAACAATCTAAAAATAAAGAACTTCCCTGCACTGACTGTACTAAGGACAGGAAAGAAAAGTAATAATAAAATAAAATAAGGTAGGAAAGGGTAGAAAAATCAAATCAAGAATCACAGACCTCACAGTAATATTATATATAAATTGATTGGATGGGATCTAACTGTTTAGATAAATTTTGTATAGTTGCTTCTATCAATATATATGAACACTAGATTCGATAAGCAAGCATGTGACAAATCTGCATGGAAAAACCCTAGTGGATTATCATCTTCTACTTTTTTTATAATTAGAAGAAAGTTAGAGGAAGATCAAGTTAGTAATTCGTGAATTCTTTTTATGGGATCATGTAAAGAAATGATAAACTATCTCTGGCATATCATGGTTGGAAATTTTGGCATTTTATTACAGTTCTGAATGTTGCAATATTTATTTCGTAATCTTAATTAAGAAATGTAAGTGGAAAATTTAAGAATAATATTTGGTTAAGAGCCTATTAAGTGGCTTCATGGTGGATTCTGAAGTTGGATTATATTAATATTGGAATAATATCTCTAGCCTTGTTGTGGATATGGAGGATTATAATTATAAGGTAACATGTGCTAGCCACATAACATGGAATTATTGCAATTAATTAAATGCTAATCTCTGGAATGCTTGCCTTGTGTCAACGGCTTGTTTTACAGAATATTTTTTTTTCTTC